TTACTCAAACAGTATAGTTCACACTCCTCTTACTAACTTCCCATTCAAATTTAACAAATTTATGACTGCCTGACTGACTGGTCAGGACAGGACAAACGATATTCATCAGTAAATACAATTTTACGACTATTAAGAAAATAAATAATTTTGTCAGGCCTTTAAGTGTCACAAAGTTTTGGACATAACTGATTACACTTCTCAAACCAAAGAATGGTCATTCGGTGTCGTTGCAATGATAAAAAACGTAGCCTATGAAGAGGAAGAACGAAATATGTAGAATTTTTTAAAACCTAACTTTAATGCTAAGATTTCCTCTTATATCACACAGTTCCTTCCAGCTGGTCGCAATTGCACATAGCTCAGGCAACATTACATCTAAGGATGATGTTGTAGCTTAAACACACAGAGACCTAGAGAGAGAAGAATGAATCAACCAACAACAAAGTACAAAGTTTATGGTTTGTTGTTTCAGCAGTAGCCTACTTTTAGGAGTAAAGAATGAAAGAACGAAGAAGAAGACGAGAAAAACAAAACAACGCCATGTAATCAACAACAATGAAGGCAACAAACTCTTCTTGCATAGTTTACAGCTGGCGGATAGACCATAAACTAGAGCATAACATTTGGCGTAGATGTTTTTTTTTCGTTTTTCTTTCTCATGTTTTTAAATAAAACAATTGAATTATGGTCTGGGTTAGTAGTAAACGACTATGACGAAGAAGAAGCATCAGCAGAAACAGAGGAGGCAACGTTGAATGAATGTTGAAGATTTTTTAAATATTTTTGCTGTTGAAAACTACGAGGGGAGAAAAGTTTTAGGTAGATTTCCATCCATCCCCGCTATTTCTTAATACTTAACTAATGAAATGTTTAAGAGCCATAAACTGGGCATAAATTAAGTTGTTTTGTTGTAGTTGTTGTTGCTGCTGCTGTTTCATTTTCAGGGCTAGCTGTAAAACTTTTCATTTATAGAAAGAAAATGCTTTAGTTCTCATTGAAGATGTTTTCATTTCATTAGCATTGGCAAACAAACGCCGTGCCAGTTTAAAACCCAGCCCCTGGCCGAGGTTGGCAAATGGAAACTCTGAAGGTGAATATAAGTTCTAAGGTTAAAATACTTTATGGCCTCCAAAATCATGTTATTGCCTAGACAAACTGGGATAAACAAGTTTATTGCCGTTTAACGGTTTTTTTCGTTTTATTCATTTGTCTTAATTCTAGTTTCTTTTGAATTTTCAAATAGTTTTTTTTTTAAGAATGACTGTCATTTTATGTTGATTCTATGGTGGGGGATATTTACAGGCAAGAATATAACTTTTGCAGGTTACTGGTGATACTTAATTTAATTTAAGAAAGCAGAATAAAAAAAACAGTTTTTAATTTTTTTCGACTTGGGTGGATTTTTAAATAAAACTACTGGAAATATAGATTTTTACCCTTTTATAAGATCTACAAATTTTGCTTTGAGATTAAATCCAAAAAAACTACAATATCCTACTGAAAATGGTTTATTCTATAGCGAATATATTTACTCCTGAAGGGCACAGACCCGAGAATTTAATAGAATATCCAAGAGGAGTGGTTGATATTTAAATTGATACCAGTTTTATTATATTTACTCGGATGAGGGGGTTTTACTTAAATTCAGTGTCTACGCACTCTGATATTGTTTAATATTACCATTACCACATTAGAGGGCGGAAATTTAGTATTGCTAGCTAGGAAATTTTGCTCGTGGTACCGGTTATGGTCAAGGATGATGCCTATAATTTTCGATGATGATCAGATGATATTTCGGGGATGTAATGTCCCTTAAACTTTAGTTTTGTATGGTTTTCTAGACGCCCCAATGATAAGCCACACATTACAGATATTTTATGAGGAAGGCGATCGACCAACTAATTCCAATGGCGGTCAAGACCGCAGAATATGCTGAATCCAATTTTTGATGACCAACATATCATAAAACCAGGAACAGGATCATTCTACTCCACACAATTTAAATTTCTGCGAATCAACCTGGGTAATAACATTTGAAACTTTGTTGATCCTCTTCGCCATGTTTAATATAATAATTTAAAATAATAAACTATTCCTATGGATATTTTTTTTCTCCTAGAAAACTTGATTCGGAAAACATGGCGAAGAGGAGCTGTTGACATCTAATCGGTCCAAAGAGTGCAAATGTCGCGAAATATTACCCAGGTTAAGAGTATTTATCCGCACAAATTTATAGCTCAGTGGTAGTTGTGTGGGGTAGAATGTGGTCGGTCCCATCTGTATCCTGGTTTTATAATCAATGTTGGTCTGTGTTTCTGGGTTCTTGAAGACCGGTATATTCTGCGCAGAATGAATGATTTAGAATGATGGAGAACATCTTCGAAGACCATTCTCTATACAAATCCCTTATACAAAGGGGTTATTTTTACGGATTTAGAAAATTGTTCTATCCGATATTGATATTCCGTAATTTGGCATTCCGGAGTTTTTGAGACAGACCCCATATAAATACCAAGTCTTAAAAACAAATAGGTTATTTTTAAGGATTTAGAAAATGGTTCTATCCGAAATTGAATTCAATCCGTAATTTGGAATTCCGGAGTTTAAAACATCTTTGCAGGAAATTTTCGACAGTTCCCCATATAAATACCCAGACTTAAAAACCTAAATGTTAGGTTGAAGAAAAAGAAACCCATTATTTTTATATAAACTATAGGACTTTATTGGACATGCTTCGGAATGTCCTCTTTGGGCCAAATATGCACCGTATGATTTCTTGTATGATTTGTTGCCTTTTGTAGGTAACTTCATAATGACTCTTTTAGAAGTCCTGCTCTCTATTTGCAAACAACTCTAATAGTCGATTTTTAACTTCTGGGCGATATTACGACTGCTACCATGCCGGTCAACTTCGATCATTCCTCCGATGTTATCGACATTTTCGATAATTCCGGCCTACCTGTGCGAAGTGCATATTTTACATCAAAAATTCCTGAACGGAATCTACGAAAATTTGCTCATAATTGGCTCTTACAGTATCGGAACCACAAACACCATTCACAAATCTTGCCGCTTGGCTTACATTTTACATTTGTCAAAGAAAAAATGTAAAATGTACCGAATTTTCTCTTTGTTTACTTTCATTTTTAACACCCTGCAACTCACAACTTAATGCACCAAACAAAAAAAGAGCAAAATATTTTTTTTACTACGAAATGTTACCCTTCCAACGAACGTAAATCTCAAATAGATTTATCGATACTTTACGAGAAATCTATCAGTATAGCCATCGGCCGAAAAAAATAATGGATTTATTTTTCCCCAACCTAATAACTTCTTATCAATTCTTCATTCAATTCTTCATAGGCAATTTCAAAAAAATGTTGAAGAGGTATTACTTTATGTTCCGAATTTCAAAGTCCTACCTTCAGTATTGGAAGTTCTATTGTTTCTTAAAAGGATCGGTCATATAGCCAATGAATTTATTATGCCCAGACTAAATTAAAAAATAAAAGTTTGTACTTCTCTTCATTTTTGTTTTTGCAAATGGTACATGATATTAACACTTTAAAATATAAATTTAGCTTTTTAAGAAAAAGTGAGGGTATATAGACAATTTTCATTTAAATATTATTTTTGTTTCGAATTACAATTTTCTTACATCAGTAATCCAAAATGTCACATATTATACAATTTTTGATAATACAATATTTTGAACTTTATAACTTTGTTTAATTATTTTCTATTTATTCTCTTTCTCCGTTTCTTCTCTATTCAGCAATACTCCGCACACAACTGGAAGTTATGCGACAAAAAACAAAAACCAAATATGAAATTTAATTTATGAAAAATTTAACAATGTCATTCGGAAGCCTCTGCTGTGGCCATTATTAGAGGGGACACATTGGCAAGGTCGCCAAAGTAACTGTAGTTAGTAATAATGTCGGAAGCTGTCCCTGCCTTAACAAATTTTTAGAAAAAAAGCAACAACAACGACATTACGGAAAACAAATTCTCTTCATTGTTGCTGTTGTTTCGGTTGGTGGCTTGTGGTGCTTTGCTGAGAGCACAAAAGCGTATAAATTGTTGAAAAGTGTTGCCAAAATTACACCCATGAGAGTCTTTAGCAAACAAACAGCAACAACAACATCGAACGAAAAGCAAACACACACACATAGAGAGGATGTAATGCTAAACAAGAAATAACAAAAACAACAATAACTCGACAGAGCGAAAAACATCTTTCCAAAAACAAAACAAAAAACTGAAATGGAACATTAGAAGCCAAGTGCGAATGTAACTAATTTAACAAAACGAAAGAAAATACAACAAAATTAGTTCACACTTTTTTCACAACAACATTGTCGTTATCGACCTTGTCTAGGCATCAGGCAATACAAGCTTATTAAAGCAAAAAAACGAAAAAATCCATTTTCAAATTGTCTGATTCGTTACGCACCACAATAGATCTTTGCCGCAATGATAAAAAAGCCAAATTGAATTATTAAACAAAAAAGGAAATAAAACTGGCAACACAAAAAATAAATTGAATTAAATAAAAAAAGCTAAAAATCAAGTCATTCGTGTCCCTTCTCCCCTCTACCAGCAATTATCAATTGAAACAGATATAATACCCAAAGTGTGTCCGTGAGAGTGTGTGTGAAGTGAATACGCAAAGTTTATATTTAAAACGGTTCGGTATAATTCAAATAAGCCAAGTAATGTCTTGAATTCTAATTTGTAAACGATTTTCGTTCAACAAAACAACAAAAAGTAACGGAACGAAAAACGTAGAAAGAAAGCCCAGGAAAAGTGTATCGTAGTGTTAAAGGAAATTGTTGGAAAAAAACAGAACACCGGAAGTGTAACCAGTAGCCCAGGGGTTTCATCTACCAAAAAAGCAAAAAAAAAAGAACAACAATCAATAGCAGATTCTAGCATTATCCTCCCCTTACATTCTGTGAACTCGAGATAGGAAAAAATCCCCCTCCTGCATTAACATGGCACGTCAACGCCTCGAAGAGAAACGACAACAGCAGCGGCATCCGCTAGACCACCAAAATCCACACCCCAACAACTACCAGCAGCAGCACCACCACCGTCAACACCACAACAGCCACCTTTATCAGCCTCAAATGCCTGAATGCCAACAGAGTTCACAACTGCCTCCAGCATCATCATTCACATCCACTTATCATCATCATAAGACGCGGAGACATTATTTTCCTCGCTGTGGATTAGTTTTGTTAGTTTTTCTAACTGTGATTAAAGGTAAGTGTCAAGCCGTCATGGCATTTAAAAACTAAACTAAAAATAAAAAAAAAACAAATTTGTCAAATGAACCATTTGAAAAAAAATTAAAACAATAACTACAGTGGGCCTAAATTATCAAAATTTTTATAACAATTATTTTATATCAATTATTTTAAGAAATAATAATTTTAATAACTAACTAACTAATTACCATATGACGAAATTTGTTTAAATCCAAATATTCTATGAAAATGTCGCTCGTAAGGTTTTAGAAAGCAATGAAATCAATATTTATAGATTTATAAAAACCCAAAATTCTTCGCCTTCTAAGGTCCATTAGAAGGCGAAGAAATATTAAAAAAAAATAATAATAACTGTAAATCAACTCGTAGTTCATAAAAAACATTTTGAAAGACTATAGATTTGTATAGGCTTTAATAAAAATTATTTATAAAATCCATAAGACGTAAAAATCCATGGACGTTAAAAAAATTATTTAAAAAAGCCATGCCTTGATAGACCTTGAAAACAATTATTTAAAAAATCCATGCCTTGTATAGACCTTGAAAACAATTATTGAAATCTACGCCTTATATAGTCCACCTGATAGTTCTTGATAGTTGCACCCTCTTGCCAGATTAGAGGTCAACAGCACTTCTTCCTTACACTGACATATTTTCCGAATATTACTAATATTCAGTACAGTCCTTATAATTACTTGTCCATATTCCCTTCACCCTGGGTTGTGATGTGATGTTCGGCTTTCAATTGTGGCCTATAGATCGACTCGAAAAAAAAACACAAAAAACTAATTTTTCGGCCCACTTTATCCCAATATTATTATCTGATCATCACCGAAAATTATAAGCGTTGTCCTTGACCATACCTGGATCCTCATGGAAAATTTCAAAGACCTCTAGTGTGGTAATGGGTTACTAAATATATATGAATACGTATGCACCTGTTAATATTTAAGTGTAACTCCCACTTCCGACTACATAACTACATAACAACTTCTCGGGTCTATGTCCTGCAGGAGCAAATATATATGCTATAGAATACAAATTTTGTCATTTTTCACACAAAAGTCAGTGTCCATTTGACCCGCTAAATTTTGACAGATCTTTATCAAAACAGGCATGCTTATTCTTTGACCCGATATCCTTATCCATGTAAAAATTCGCAATGTTTGGGCCATGAAAAAAATTGCAATCCACGCCTTGTATAGACACTGAAAAAATCATTTAATAAAACCACGCCTTGAGGTATACCTTAAAAGAAATTCTTTAAAAAATTCAAGCTTTTTATATGGCCTTCACCTTATGATGAATTTTATAAAATGTGAAGACTTTTCCCCACTGTGCATATTCCCCATAACCAACAAAAACTAAAAATTTGAGTATGTGACACTTTTACCAAATTTCAATTTACTTATATTTCAGTTACATTCATTTATGTATGTACATACAGTGAGTGTAAAAAGTATTTTGCCTCAATATAAATTTGAAAAAATTCCAATATATACCCTGAAGCAACATCAAAGTGTAAAATGATTTATGTATGATATACGTTTTGACATATTTAGGCCTTGAAAAAAATATTTAACCCTTTATGGCGAAATATATAATAACCCAAAAATGTTTATCACAAAAGTATTTTGCTTTTTATTATTATTTTATAAAAAAATGTTACATTAACACGTTTGGTCTTTTTATTTACAATTGCTTATGACAATACTATAAGCGATTTGACCACGATTCCATTCACACGGCAAAAATCTGAAAACATTCAAAATTTTTGGTAGTTCATGTAATTTTTAATATAGTTATGAATTTAGAAGAGAGTATTAAAATTGTATTGCAGCTTCAAAACATAATTTGTTTCACAAATTATAAAAAGAGGTTTTGCAAAATATAACGCGAGGACAGAACATTAAAAACTATAAAAACCAAAATCCGACAAACAAATTATTTAAAAAAAATTCGCGTAAAACCCAATTTATAGAGAATAATTTAAAATTTCTAGGAACCAATATATTGTAAATACCAATAAGGGTTTTCAAAGATATTGAACAGTTTAAATCAATAGTAATAAAAATCAATACATGAAAGAAACATCATTATTCGTCAAATCCTATTGTCTTTTGAAAAACTGTGGTTGCTGGTGGCGAATATCATTCTATATTTTATCTCCGATTAACACCATCAGTTGCGAATAAAATGCAGTAGGGAATAAATTGTTCTATGATTATTTTCGAAATAAGATGTATTTCTATTGCCAGAAAACCGTCCATATATTTGAATCTGACCTCCTTATTGCTATTTTCATCGTATATTTTTTTTTCAGTAAAAATGAACCATAAAGTTTTCGAAGTTAGAAAAATGGGGTTTCGCGATATTTTTTTAAATAATTTGTTTGTCGGATTTTGGTTTTACAAAGTTTTAAAAATCTGTCCTCGCGATATATTTTTAATATATATATATATATATATAACATATTTGGGATGTTTTGAAGCCGCGACCTATATTTAATAGATTTTATTAAGAAAAATTACCAAATATTGAATGAAATATTGCTGGAGAAAAAGTAAATGTGAGAAAAATCGCGAAAAAATGCCGTGATTTATTGTAATCGTTGCCAAATCATTATAATAAAACGTAACGCGCAATGGTAACTATAAAAAGACCAAAAGTAACAATTTTTTTAAAAAATAATAAAAAGCAAAATACTTTTTTGTGATAAACATTTTTGTTGTTATATATTTATAAAATGTGACCAATAGGTCTTTTGCTGTGATTCTTGCAGAAATACGACCTAAATATGTCCACAAACGTACTCCATTATACATAATTCATTTTACATCTTTAGTTTGCTGGCTTTAGGCGTATAAATTGGAATTTTTTCTAATTTTTATTGAGGCAAAATACTTATTACACTCACTGTATATATCCAGACTGCCTGTCCTCGCTTTTTTGGTTCTCAGGCTATTTTCATTACCATTTACAAATTCAATTTAAACTAAATGTTATGCTAGCTGCTTGCTACCGTTTACAATTATTGTATTTTCTGGAGGGTTCACGCTACCGTTGTTCCAGGTGATTCATTTTTGTGTCTCATTTCTTCGAGTCTTCACTTCATTTCATTCCCTTTTGGTCCGTTTACTGTGACGAGGGATCATAAAAAGGTCTCAAGGTATTTGATTACCGAAAAATGTATTCCATAGCACAATCATCCACCACCACTCACTTCCTCACACACTCACCTTACACTCCAAAAATGTGATATAGTTGACGACGGTGACATGGCCAGTTCATTTGGGGTTTTGGATAATAACAAAAAGCGTAGGAGATTTATTTAAATTCTACTTAAATTTGTTGACCAAAATTTCGTTTTCTTTCACTTAGAAATTACAAAAAACAACAACAACAAACAATAATTTTTGTAAAATGTTTTCATTGCAATGTTGACCATTTTTTTCTGTTTGTGGTGTTGTTGTAAATAATTGTAATTTCTTTAAGAGTTCTAGAGAAATTCCTGTGTGGGCGATGGGTGTTGGGTGCTGGGGTACATTGTGTCCTGCTTGGAAATTTTTGTTAATTTCTATTCATTTGTTTGCCGACATTTAAAAGGTGAAAAGGACCTGTTCTAGATATTCATTGAAGGTCGCCAATTCAATTGTTTGTTTGCTGACTGGCTGGTGTGTGGGCCATTTAACAATTTGTTTTCTATGTTAATTATTCAATAGAGCTTCATGTTTTGTGGAAATGGTTTCATAATTAAATTGTTTGTTTTTTTTGGGTTATTTCTCTTTGACTATTGCTGTTACATTTGTTTCGGGTAGGTCCTTTAATTACAGAAATAACATCGGAATGTTTGCTACAATTTTCAAACCCATTTTCAATTTCATTTCATTTGCTGCAAATAAATGTGGTTAATGTGCCAAGCATGATTGGATTTCTTAATTAGTTTGTTATTTTCTAGTATGTACTTGTAAGTTCCCAACGGACTAAAGGGGATCCGTAATCCGTATTTATGCATAATTTCGAATTCATACCATGTCTCTTGTGAAGATTAAAGAGGATATGCTGTCTGATTTGTTTGAAACTGGTGTTTTGAATGGTTAATTTCAATTGTTTCAAGACAACAAAGTGTTTCGGTGTAAAAAGTCCTTAGACACTAATTTACATATCTTCGAAATGTAAAGAAACAAAAAAGCTTGATTAAGTTTGTTGGCAAAGACTTTAAGGCCTATTGTGTAGAAAATAGATAAATAATTTGATATGATTTAGAATAAGTTGGATTTATTAAAATCGAGATAAGAAATGTATTCTAGAAAATACAATCTTAAAAATCTGACCTTGATTTTTTATAATGTAGAAAAAAATTATTTTAAAAATCCGCACCTTGTATAGTCCTCGAAAAAAAAAATAGTTTAAAAATCCAGGCCTTGTATAGACTTGGAAATAGTTATTTAAAAAATACATGCCTAGTATAGACTTAAAAAAATTACAAAATCCACGGCTTGTATGGACATTAAAAAAAAAGATTTTCAAAAGTCCACGGCTTGTATGGACATTAAAAAAAATATTTTCAAAAATCCACGCCTTGTGCGGATTTTGAAAAAATATTTTCAGAATTCACCCCATGTACAGACTTAGAAAAAAATTGTTTTAAAAATCCATTCCTTGTCTTGACAATTTTTTTCAAGATCCACGTCTTGTGCAGACTTAAAAAAAATAAAAATCCACTCTGTGTGAAGACTTCAAAAAAATATTTTTAAAATCCACGTCTTAAAAACCTACAGGCTTTGGGTATGATTTTGAGAAAATTATTTTAAAAATTCAGGCCGTGTGAAGTATCTGAAAAAAATACATTAATCTTTGAAAATCTGAAAAAAAATTAAAAATTCATTTTCAATTTCAACTTCCAGATATTTTCTTCCCACCCCATTCAAACTGCAAATGACAGCTTTTCAGAATTATTAAAAATTCCCCTATTTTCAAGTTATTCTCTGCTTT